TATATTCTTTTTAAAATGGACCAGATATGGCTTTATATATGCCCACTTATTTAGAAATTCCCAACACTAGTATATCTGGAATAAAATTCTGTTCAGATTTCTAATTTGACAAATTGATAACCAGCTGAAAATTAAAATTGTGAAAATCAAAGTTTATTATTTTTAAGTATAGTATCAAAAATTTTCAACATGGACATTACTGTTTTAACCTAGTAAACTCAAAGCAAAACAAAAGTCTTATTATTTCCTATTCACTTATTATCTTGGGAAAATGTTTAATAGTTTCATTTTTTTCTGATCTTAGAAACAAAATTACAGTTATGGGATCTTTAGGCTTTGTTTTGATTTTTCACACTGAAATATAAGATTTATGACTTAAAAGTGCTTTAAGATTTAGGTAACAGATCTGATTTACTTCTTAACAGGAAGTTAAAAAGCCTTTCAACATTTTATAGACTTTGCGAGAATCCTGTTTGAACCCTGTCACCGACCCTATGCTGAAGGAATGAACACCGGGAAAACATGTGTTAGCTAATACACAAATGTATTTATTTTTTTCTGGATGTACTGGGTAACTTTTCTCCCTTATCATAAGTTGCTAGTGATAGTTTTTAACCTGAAAGTTACTGCATAATTACAGGAGTAAGTGGCAGCATATTTTTTCCTCACGGAAAATAGTATAATGACCATTGGCTTTGCAGTCAGACAGCCCTGAGTTTGAGTGGGTATACCTATTTGCTTTTTGTCTTTAGTAAGTTATAGTGAACCTATGGACCTCAGTTTCTGTATCTGTAAAATAGGCATGACATCTATCTCCTAGAATCACTGAGAGGATTAAATATAGTTATGTAAAAGTGCCTAGAAATGGGTGTGGCACAGAGTAGCCACTAAATTTAGTTTTCTTCTTTAAATTCCTATTTTAATCTTTTTAAATGATAACACAAATAAAATACTGTTCTGAAGGAATTATAAGTAAGGAATTACCAATAAAATATTGCAGCATGCTGAAATACCTGACCTGGCTACCTTTTCAAAAATTGTAACTTCAGAATTCACTGTAATCAGAATGATAAAGTAATGCTGCACTTATTCAGACAGTGTTTACTAAATGATAATTGCTGTGAGCCTCAGAGCAGAGCTGGGAGGGGGCAGTGCAGAGTCGGAGAGACTGCCTTGCCTAAGGTCACGTGACCGGGCAGCAGGCAGAGCCAGAACATGGACTCTTGCTGTAAGTTTATTACTGCTTAGAGCGAAAGCTTCCCATTGGAGTTTCAAGGCAATACTACATTTCAGGCAACAACATGGAAGAAGCCTTAATATAAAAAGAGACTTTGGGCATATTTCAGTAAATAAATACCCTTGGTTTGGGTCCAAGATGGATCTTATCTATACCAAAGTAACTGTGTAGGGAGTGGTGTTGTGATAAGATACCAAAGTGGCAGTGTTGTTCCCTCAAATATATTTTGTGTTGTGCACACACACATACACACACACCACACACACACACACACACACACACACTTCTGCCTTCAAAGTACTCTATTAAATAAAGGGAAAAATCTTTCCATAACATACTTCTAAGCCAATTTAGAGGTCATCGAACAGATGTCAAATAATATTAACGTTAAAGGAACATTAACATTACCCTGTGTAATAAGAAAATTATAGTACGTAAATGAAGATAGTAAAGAGAAACCATCCAGTGAATTATTTTAGAATTTCAGAATGAAATGATTTCTTTGAAATTTAGCAGTGATACCATATGACCCTAGAAAAGCGAGTCTGAGAGGAAGAAGGGAAAGTAGAGACAAAAGTGAAGCCTTTCTGTGTTTCTTACAGGGTGGGCCAAAAGTTGGTTTACAGTGGTTTGTATGGAAACTAATGTAATTATTAAATAATGCCATAAGAATAAACTGTGTTTCACATACTCACAGTGTAAACCTACTCTGCCCCATTCTGCATATGCCAGTTGTGGGTTATGATGCTAAAGAGCTAATGTAACAGTATAGCTTTTGATTGCCCAGGAAGTATATTATTACTAAACTGTGTGGCAAGAAATTTATTAAAATCTGACTAACTTCTCATTGAGTTGTTTTATATAAAATCACAATAGTTGTTTCTAGATGACATATACTTCCTTTTGCTATTAGGTACACTTTAAAAGCCTAATTATTTTGAGAACATAGTATGACCAAAGAATAAAAATGTACAAAGTTGACAACTTTAAATAAGCACTAGCGTTTCTTAAAGAACAAACCTCACTTACAGTTAGGAAACAATATTTATATTTAAGGTTGAAAAGCCAGGATGTAGGAAAATTTTGCTAATTTGGAAGATGACCTTTAAGTGCACCAAAACCAAATAATTTGTAGGCTACGACACAGGGCACATTCCTACAAAATTTGTGTGAATACTGCTTTAGTGGTTCTTGAAAGACAAACAAAGAAAGCTGGAATGAAACCTCTGTCCCCCTCTCAAGGAAGACGGGGAGTAACAAAGGAGTACAGCAGCACCCTTTCAGAGCTTGCCATTAAAACGGGGTCTCTGCAGCACAGTTAATGAGATGGTTCATAGTTGAAAATAATCTGTTTTTAAGAATGTTTAGATCAAAAGTAATTTCTAAACTATGAAATAAAGTCTCTTCAGTACCGTTCATTCACCAGTAAAGCTTTTTATGTTTGTATTATTTACTTCAATCAGATGTTTTCAATTTTACCTTTTCTTCTTATACAAATACTTGACATGGTTTGTCAATAGTGACCAACACTTTTATTCTTTTTCTTCAGAAAAGGGAGATTTTTGAGAGAGGGAGAATGAAAAAGAGAGAAACATCTTTGCCTAAACGATTTGCAAGCATCTGTGCTTTAAGCTACTTTTTATGAACACTCCTTAGTAAATGACTCAAGGTAAAAAAGCAGAAAAGCATCCAATGTTAGGAAATTGCAATCCAATACCATGTAATTTAAACCTGCAGTTGCTTCTCTTGTACTAAATGACATACAGATGGGTAGCTTAGTTCTCTCAACTTTGGGAACACAATTGGTCTTTTTGTATGAATGAACATATATTAACAAAAATACTTTGGACAGAATTGTTTAATTCCAATTGTACAGATTTTAACTATCCATGCCATTGGGGAAAATAATTTTACTGACACATTATGTCGTGATAAATTTTCAATTAATGATTTCTTTTGGAACAAAAATCATCAAAGACACACTTCCAACAAATAAAGAAATAAAACAAAAAAGATAGTATCTTAGAAGTCTGCAGTGAGTTGAACAGAAAGAGGCCTATCACAGTCACCTTGTTATTTAAGAAAGAGCAGTTCCGAGTTCAAGCTGTGGAGAGGCTTGTTCTGAGAGGACAAACATTTCTCCAGGAAACATTTCTATCTAGCCCTTGGAAAACATTAACAGTGTAAGTAGGAGGTGTTTGGATAAAGCCTAGTATAATATGGGGAGTGTGTAGGTGTGCAGGGAAGTCCAGGGAGATGGGAGACCAGCACGCCATTAGCAATAGGCCAGCTCTTCCTACAGATCTTTCCAGGCCAGAGCAGAGCCAACACGTGTTGTGTAGTGTCAGGAGAGGCACTGTTTGACGGCCCACAGGCCTGCTCCACGCCTCCCGTTTGCTCTGCTTGCCTCTGGTTTGCTCTTTTCCGGCCTCCATATTTTCCTCCTGGAGAGTCAGCCGCCCTGTCTTGGTGGCCCTGGATCTGGAAGCTGATATCCTTCTTCAATCCCACCATGAGGGTAACTGGTTAGGTAATTTTCTCCTAGTTAAATTTCAGTGAACTCGCACAGGAACATTAGATGCCTTAAAAGTCAAAGAAGTAGAAAGCATTTCCACTCCTCAATCATATTTCTTAATATTTTAAAAGAAGTTGAGTTTAATATTCAGGAAACTAGGCAAGATTTCTTTTTTAATTTTAAAACATTTTTCAGGTAGGGCCATCTGCAATCCTCTTTTTCCCTGTGATGGATGGAAAAGAAAAGTGGCTTTACTACAGCCGGCAAGGTTGCTTTGTCCTGGAGTTACATTCCTTTTCACTCACTGTGCAGGTAAAATAAAACACTACATATAAACAGGTGTTGTCTGAACATTTTACTGCAGTCTGTACAGGTTGAAATAAAAGCTGCCATTGTTATTAGAATCATATTATAATTATTTCACCATTCAAATACACTTAATCAGTGAAGTGTTCCTAGGTATGCTGTGCAAAAAGAAAATGTAGGTCTCTAAGTAAAATCGCATTCACTTTTCCTCTTCTCTTTGTCTTTCCCCCTCCCTATTTTTATCACCCTTTCTTTGGAACTTCTTGAATCTGCATTAGTGTAAATGCCTTCTCCTGGAGTCTATTAAAAGTTTCTTGCTGCCTGTTTAACGTGGTAAGAGATAGTCTTTAAAGAGACATTTGTTTTTAAGAACTCTACAGAACCTAGTAAAGTATCGGACAGAATCACAGAGAACAACAATCCCTAGTCATGGAAACTGTATCTTTAGAGTTTTAAAAAATAGGATGGTATTTAAAACACTCAGACTGGAAATTAAATGATGAAGGTTTCAAGCCACTCTCTACTAAGACACAAAATTATTGGATGGAGAACTATTGTGTAACACTATATGCCCATCATCTTATACATACAGTGTGAATAGAGTTATACTTTTAAAATTCATTAAAAAAAGAATTTTAAGGTATTGGAGACTTAAATGGTGTACTACCATCTCGTGATTGCTCAGTGAGGTTTTGCTCTCACATGCCAGCAGTTCAGACTGCAGCACGTTGTCAGTGCTCCAATGCAATCACCTGAATCTTGAGGAACTTTTTTTTTTAACTGAGAGAAATAATCAGCTGCAGTTCAGGTAAGTTTGTGCATTAGGGACTGCTCTGGTCACTGGCAATTGACTGCACAAGCTGTGCTGCAGGGGCCAGCCAAAGCAATTATTTAGGATTCAAACTGAAAAGCCTCCTTCTCCCATATCCTTTCTCTTTCCAGGGTCATGTAGGGATAAAAAGAACTGTAAGGTGGTCTTTTCCCAGCAGGAACTGAGGAAGCGGCTAACACCCCTGCAGTACCATGTCACTCAGGAGAAAGGGACCGAAAGGTAAGGTGAACTGTAAGAAAAAGTCATTAAGCAAGAGCTAGGTTTCTTCACCCCAACCCCACCCCCTCTGCCTTTGAATCTTCTTCCTTGACATTTAATTCAAAGAATTCTCCACTTATTTGCTAAAGACTACAAATTAGAATCCTGGAAAAGTTTTGAAAATGATATTGTTTAGGTTAAGACTAAGTTTTATTTATTCTTTCCCCCATTTAATGAACACTCTATCTTATGTAAAGTCACAAGGCTTTTATTAAGGGCCTGTTTTTAGTTTACTACAAAATGTGTGGAAGTAATAGCGATTTAGGTACATTTTTTGGGAAGACATCACAGTAAGCAAAACCATGAGGGACATGGCGCTGTGCCAGGATGCTGAAATTTTGAAGGTGGCCATTGTAAGTATAGACGTTTTGGCTGCAAAAAGAAGGTAGCATAATTTAGTTCCTTTCTACCCCACTCCAATTTCTTTTTGAAGCACATGTGGAGAAAGTATTTATTGGCTCATTTGTGGTTGGAATGTCAAAAATTTTCAATAACTGCCCTCACATGGCTTTGGTCCCTGGAAGTTCGCCCCGAGTCCTGAAAAAAGAGTTTGTTCACTTCCAAGACTCTTTTTAGTGAATAAAGTCTCTCTCAGCTGATTCCAGCTCAAAGGTAACTTGCCAAGGTCCAACCATTTTGTTGTCTAATTTATACCATGGAGCTTGGCATAAGGCCGTAACTTACCTCTGATCCAAATTTATTAATGATGTAACTTCTTGTTTTCATTCATGAAGTGAAAGAGCTCTTTACCACACATGGGGTTCTTGTTAATAGGCAACACTCTCTTCCTGTCACAGTGGATACTGTTTACTGAATTCACCAAGTGTTGAATCTCTGACAAAGTCCACCCTCACTGCACAATGAGCCAGAAGTGGACTTCAGTCTCAGCCCAGGAGGACTTCTGCCCGTACCGTTGTGTACAAGACCAGCAAAGTGATTTAATGCACACAAACAACCAGAGATTAGGTCATTCTTAAAAATTCTGTTTATAAAAAAATTGGACCTCATAAAGAGGGTGAAAGGATAATAAAAACAAGCTGCAGAGCACATAGACTTTTTGTTGGGCTAGCACAGCTGATTTGTATTAGCTGAATGACCTCCTAGCCTTTAAGATTGTTAACTTAGAAAAATATTCCCTTAAAGCTGCAATATTCCTTTTCAAACCAAAAAATAAGACTCCTTCCACTTGAAGTCCTTGGATCCTTCTGCATTTTCTGGTATCCACTCTTGGACACTGTAGGGCAGCAGAAATCTTATGTAATGATGTGTTTTGTTGTTTTTTTTTTCCTGTGAATGTGAACTACAGGCTTTTTTTAAAATAGGATTTTTTCCTAAGTGTTACATAACTACACAGCTCTCTATATACATACACATATACATATATACGTGTGCACACACACACACACACATATATCCTGCACTGGTTTGGAGTATTTATATGCACATTTTATTATATAGATTTGAAATATATTAGTTATGTTCAGATTTCCATATGTTTAGTCTGTTCTCATTATAGGACAAAAAGCCCTTGAAAAATTTATTATAGAAATATATTTTAAGCAAATACATTCTGTAGAAATAATTCTAACTTAATTTTTTAATGATCTGTGTTTTGTTTACCAGTGCCTTCGAAGGAGCATATACAAATCACAAAGATCCTGGAATCTATAAATGCGTTGTTTGTGGAGCTCCATTGTTCAAGTAAGTGTATTAAAAACCTGTGGATATGGACATATCACAGATGGGGACAAGCTCATTCTTGCTTGTTCATATTAGAATCTTTACATTATTAAATTTTCTTATGTCTATTTCTCACCCACAAAACATAAGTAATTGTTGATTTTGCACCGCTTGTATCTTTAAGATACCCAGTATTAACTTGTTCATTGCAACAAACATGACACTTAGTAGAGCCACAAAAGAGATTTTGGTGAGCGTAGAAATGTTTCTGTATTTACTGGATTTTCTATTGCAAGTGATGGCCCTAAATTTATTTATCGGACTATAATGAAAGTTCTTTATGTGCATCCTTCAGATTGAATAATGTCCATCAATTTGATTATTCATACTTCTGTAATGAGAGGTAATACCCATGTTGAAAGTAACATGGGAATTATAGCAGATACTTGTACATATATAAGCAAATTACATAATATGAGTTTAATAGTTTTCACATTGGTAGAAAACTTTTATTTTGAAGATCTCAATAGTTTACTACAAAATAGGCAGTACATAGACTTTTCCACCAAAATAGTTAATTCAGATATTGTCTTCTAGAGATTATGAATCTTACTCAAGAAAGAACAACCTTTACCAAAATTTATTTATTTAGATAGAGAAAATCCTAGAAGCCTTATACTCCCATGGGGGTGCTGATTGGGGAAATAAAAAGACAGAAGGCTTAAGTGAGGGTAAATGTTATGTATTTAAAACAGAATGACAAATTTCTTAAGGGAAATGAACAAACAAGAATTAATATGTGCAGCATGTAAAACATAATATCTCTCCATAAATGTTCCCCTTTTAAAACACTAACATATACAGATTTCTTTTTAGAAATAACAGGAAACAGTAGTTTCCTTGAAAAAATTTTTAAAAATGTTTAAAACCCTTCTTACTTTGTATAAAACTTTTTGCACATTATTGTTAGTTGAGAATCCGTTCTGATTTCTCAGGTAGGTATTCTCTGTGTTAAAAAACCAGCCCTTCAGGCTGTTACCCATTTCCTGTCAGAAAACCTACATCCTTATATTTCAGCACCTGTAGCTTGTGTCATCATAGTCGATACAACACTTAAGGTAGTCACTGAGCCATGTTAAACTTGTCAGTACCCCAAATGGTAAAGATGGGCCACATCCCCTTTGCTCTTTGTTTAAGATCCTACACTTCTTTTCTTATCATGTGATTCAGTAAAGTAATGGATCTGAGGAAAACTTACTGTTTTAAATAAGAAACAGAGCAACAGTAAATAAAGGCTTTTACCCATGTGAGATTTTGAGACACGAAAACTAAAAGCAAGACCCTTGTCCAAGCATAGGTCCTGGTGCGGCTCAGGAAGTTTCACATTTGATGTAATATTGCCTCTATTTCCTTTGGCATTATTGTAAGGAAAGCTTTTATTTTCTAACTTTTTATGGAATATGGTTTAATATTGTTGTTCTCCTTTTTAAAACAAAATTGTCCTTAGTTGATTTCCTGTCAAATTTTTTTTTTTGGCAGCGGAATATCCCTGCCTGTAGAGTAGAATGGTAGTTCATTGACTTGGTGTTACTATCTTCATACTGAGACCTTTCCAGGGACCACAGGGTATGAACAGTTTTGAGGGAATCAGTTTTCTGCTCCTCAACTGTATGTACACTTTGCTGAAACTGATGTGTCTGAGAGAGTCTGTGGTTGGCCATTTTTTTCTTCCTGTTTCCTATATCATAATCACCCTTCTCCCACTTTACAAAAGATGTCCTATCTTTTACCCATCCCAAATCTTTTAAAAATTTATTTATTTATTTAGTTTTGGAGAGGTGAAGGGAGGAAGGGAGGGAGAGAGGGAGAGAAACATCAATGTGTAGTTGCCTGTAGAGTGCCCCCTACTGGGGACCTGGCCCACAACCCAGGCATGTGCCCTGACTGGGAATCAAACTGGCAACCTTTGACTTGCAGGCCAACGCTCAACCCACTGAGCCACACCAGCCAGCCAAATATTACTATGATTTATTGTCCCAGGGTAAAATATCTAAGACATAAAGTAAAACAACAGCATTACTTTTGAAGGAGAGACCCATGAAAACAAGGCAAAAAAAAATTGAAAAATATTGAACTGGTAAAAAATTCTTGAAATATTTCATCTTGGTAAGTGCAGTCTGCTTGTTTATCTCTGTATTCTCCATTTTCTACTAGTTACTTGAGTGACATGGTTGTTGTGAGAACATGTATCAGTATATTTACATATTTATTTAAATTGAAAAAATTAAAGTCTTTTTTGGGACAGATAATAAGCCTGATTTGGTTGATAGATATGAAAGGTAGGGCTGCCTTTGCAAGTTAAGTTGTATGGTGTTTTTCTCCATTCCTTAAATGGTATAAATATATAGCTCTAAGGTTTTGAAAAAAATATTTTAAGCTTGTAGTTTATACATAGAACACCAGAAAATTTATCTTTTTTTAAAAGATTTTATTTATTTATTTATTTTAGAGAAAGGGGAAGGGAAAGAGAAAGAGAAAGAGAGGGAAAGAAACATCAATGTGTGGTTGCCTCTTGTGTGCTCTCTACTGGGGACCTGGCCTGCAACCCAGGCATATACCCTGACTGGGAATCGAACTGGCAACCCTTTGGTTTGCAGTCCAGTGCTTAATCCATTGAGCTATACCAGCCAGGGTGAAAATTTATCTTTTTCAATTATTTAAGTTATTGATAAGATATTTTAGTTGCTATTTTACCATATACGGGAAGGATGTGTCGGTCAGCACCCATTCTGGGTACAGAAACCACACAGTAATCTGAACAGGCAAGTTTAACATAAAGAATGATCACCTACAACTGAGGATTGTGGTAATGAGGGATTGTCTAGGAAGAAGTAAATAGAAATTTTAGAGAATACAGAAATAGCAAATACAGGAAGGAATCAGAACCCTTAGGGCTGAGATATAGCCCAAGGGGAAGTTTCCCCTGCACTCCCCACCCTCCTCCCACTTTCCTCTCCTTGGGTCTGAGATCTAGACTGTTGGAGAGGCATGTCTGTAGCGTACTAAATACCAGAGAAGTCCCTGTACTGTCACCATAATGCAGCTTTCCAAAAATCCACCTTCTGGAATTTACTGGAAATCTACCTTCTAGGGCAGAGATCTTCAACCTTTTTCCCATGGCACACACAAACTAATTACTAAAATCCTGTGGCATACCAAAATACAGGGTCCTGCAGAGGCAAGGCTTGCTTCAGTGTGGTTGGCAGGGTACGTGAATGTCTCGGACAAGATGGACAGCAGTTTGAACATTTCACCTAACATGTCACATGGTGTGCTTGAGTGTGATGTTATGTTACAGAATTACATGCTTGTGATTTTGTAATAAAACATTTTGTAATGAAAAAGGGGCATTATTTGTGCCAGACCCTGTATATATATTTTCCCAATCTGACAAAAAATAGTATAATTTTGATTTATTCACACTGGATGGCTATTGTGCTATTGTTGTGGTCATTTTTATTTTATTGTTGTGGTCATTTATTGTGCTATTGGCTGTGGTCATTTTTAAAATTTTACAATCTGAGGCAAAAGAGGTCAGTGCCCCTGACTAAACAGTGAGGTACTGCATGTTTTAAAAATTCTCGCAGCATGTTGGTTGAAAATCGCTGGTCTAGTGAATCAGTGGCATCACTATCACATCTTGAGAGAGTTGGTTTCATACTCTGAGCACAGATTGTAAGAAACAGTTGAGGGGGGTGTGTGTGAGAGAGAAAGCATATGGAGTTTTGTTAGCAGGGAGTGAAGTAAGAAAGTTAAGCAGAAAAGACTAAATAGCTCAACAATATGGAAAATAATAGTGGAAGGGAACTAGGAAATAAAAAGAGAAAAGAAATAAATGCTGAATTTGAAAATGCCTAAGCATTAGCAGTATGGAAAGGCTATCTTCTTGATATTTCTGTTACTCACACTTACAGTGTGTGTGTATACGTTCAGATATTTGTGTAATCTTTTGACACATACATGCACATGCATATATCAGTCAAATAAAGTTATACATATATAACTTTATATATGTATAACCTTATCTATCTATCTATCATCTATCTTCCTTCCTTACAAAAAAGGCCAATTATTCTTATTTCATTTTCATACTTTACCCTCAATTACCATACATTTCCACTCAACAACATACTACTTTCTTACTGCTTACCAAGTACAAGAACCTTATTCACAGAGTGCTTATAAACCAAATGTGTAATTTATTCCATGGTTCACATTTTCTTCACATTCACAAATTCTACCAAGCTAGTTTATGTCGCATATAGTACTACTGATTTTCAGTTAGTAAATTAACTGACAGAAGTAAGAATGTTTTCTCCTCTGGTTATTTGAACTTCTAAAACTTCATAAAATGAATTTATTGCACATCAGATAAACCAGGGAAGGCATTGATGAAATAATTTAATTCAAAAAGTATATATGACCACTTACATTTTGCTTTGGCTGACACTTTGCCAGGTGTGAAACAAATCTGTGAACTGCTTTCTCCTTAAAGTGCTGACAGTTTTGTTGGAGAGATAAGAAAGCATGATGAACAATTATAAATATCGAAACATAATGTTAGTTTCTACCTGATTATGCCTGTTTGAGGTGCTCTCTTGTATGATAGGAGGTCTATGGCGGCATCAAAGCAGGGCCAGTTTTCATGGAGGACATGAAACCACATTTTGCCAGACAGAGAGAAGGGTTTCCTTTCTCCCAGGTAGGGGATGCCTGATAGAGAATGCCATGCAAGAAGAGGAATTGGAGACAGGATCAGAAATGGGTTCTTTAAGGAAAAAGTTAGGAGACTGGTCCAGTAGAAGTGGGGAGGTGAACTATGCTGGCAGTAATGGGAGACGTGGCTGCAGGGCTGAAGGGCACCCGTTGAGGAAGCCTTTGGATACCAGAGGATGTTTCACATCCTGCTTGGAATCCTTTAATCCCTGGCATCTTCTCCTCCAGAAAGCCCTGCCTGAGCC